GTCACGGTTCTTAATTTGAATCAAAGAGTCCAAATCCGGCAAATCGTTTTGGAAAACAAATTTTTAGAAAGAAGTGCCAAACATGGACTGCTTTGCCAGATACAGAGTCGCCACCTAAATATTTTTTTAATGGGAGAATTTAGGAAACCCTGACTCGTTTGCCTAAGGCCACTTATCCGTCGTCACCAGAGTTACCTCGGCTCGGGAACTTGGGTACGATTGGGGAAGGTCAGCTATGAGCACCCCCTATCGCCCGATCCGAAGATCGGCCTCTACTAATCATGATATCCAATTTTGAAAACGTTATGTGTTCTTATTCTGGTTATTAGCCTAGATTTACTATGTGATACGCACAGCATACAAGTATAGACGGGATCGCCTGAATTGGAACAAAACATTTCATGTTTGTTTTGAAAACGATTTGCTACTCGTAAGTAGGCTAAAATGCAGATTTTGCCACCCTCGAGTGGGCTTAGAAAACAAGGTTTTGCCACTTTCAAGTGGGCTTAAAACTCACAATCAATGCATTGTTCCAATTCAAATGACCCAACCTTCACCTGCAGGCATTCAGGCAGGTATATCACATAAGCACATAGCTTCATGGTAAGCATGCTATTATGTTAACATTCACACACATGCGAGATGCTAAAGCATAAATGCTCACCTAGTACTCCGAGCCAAAACAGAAACTAGTTAGTAATCATATGCATGATCCTAGTTCATGTTAAGATGGCTAATGCAACACATGCAAGATGCAACTACAATAGGCTCGGCTATTCTAAGATGACATATGATGATGCTACAACTAACACGTACTCAACTTAGAATTGAAATACAATGCAGTTAGTATGATGCGCCGAGTCCGGTACATGCAAGACAAATGTATGCATGCACGCATGCATAGCATAAGGTATGCTAATTTAAATATGTCCTAATACTAACCATTGAAAGCAGGTAAGTAAAAGGGAGAAAGAAGTGGGGGTTGGAAGACATGCACACACGCACCCACACTTATTACAAATTCACCCTTGCTCGGAGGGACCAAAAGAATAATACAAATTAATTAACCTACAAGCTAATTAAATATTATAGATCACTTAACTAGTTAAGCAAATTAACTAAGCTAAGAAAGCGGTAAAAGGCCTCGGAAGAGGGTCCAATGCACGCGTGCTCAGGTTTGCTCGGAAATCCGTCGCCATGCACAAGTTGCCTCTGTTTACCCTGCTCTGCTCCTCTGAAAATTTCATAACTCCCAAGGTATGCTCCATGGACACTATAGAGTACCACCGGCCAAGGGGAATCATCACCGGCCATTAGTAATGGTCATCGACCATTGATTGATCTCTTGGCCATCCATATTTGGTCGGTCGGCACTAAGGATGGTCGGCCGGCCAAAGCTTCCTGTAGAAACCTGTTTTGACAGCAGCAGAGGACAGACAAGGCATGGCAATGCATTTCAAAGCAAATGTTTGCACAAACACCCTCCTTATCATGTTCATGGCTCAAAGGAGGATGGTCCTTGATTCTCGGACCACCAATTGCGCATTTCAATGCGTGATGGCCCAAGAAACCAAGTGTGCCACTCAATATGAAATGAAATGCATACAAACAAACAAAAGGCCCAACCTCAATCATGGTTAATCAAGAGGCAAGGCATGCATGCCAAATGCAACCTAAGCATGTGAGCTAAGTATGCAACATGAGCATGGAGGCAAGTATGCAAGCATGCAATATGTACTAGGCACACAACCTAAGCAAACAAGCATGCAAGGCATGGAACAACTATGCTAATGACAAGCATGCAACAACACATGGGGCAAACATGTAACAACATGTTAAGCAACCTAAAGCCACAAGAGTGCATGCCAAATGCACTACCACTTAAGCATGATAACAAGATGTTTATGGGCCAAGTATGTGACAACATGCAAGGCTAATGTACACACAAACATTCATGCACACATGGTCCAATACTTGAGCATAAAAAGGCAGCTTTTAAGCACACTTAACATGGACAAATAGCATACACGATAAGCTTTGAAAACATGTAGAAGATGATGCCAAATCAACCTACCACTGCAAGCAAGGCATACAACCAAGCCCAAGGACTTAAACTATGGTTAAGTGACACATGAAGCAAATGACCAAAGTGGACCAAAATAGTCCCAAATCATGCCAAAGTGAGCCCCAAAACCTACTTAGATGGCATCTAAATGACCTAATCTTAGAGGCATTCACAATGGTACAAACAAGGAGCATAAAACACAAGTCTTTTAAAGCATTAAAGGGGCATCAAATGCAAGCATACAAGCATGCTATAAGGACTGGAATGACATAACTAATGGTGCCAAACCATTGAAATGATGCAAATAGAGCATGCTAGAAGGTCCAACACTCAAAGCCTACAAGCTAGGTTGCATGGTAGCTATACAAAGCAAGCCATGGATGGCCCAAACAACCAAAAACAAACCTCAAACACACTAAAACTTGCATAAAATCTTCACAAAGCTAAGCCAAAATCATGATAGAAACAAGGCTCAAAGCACAAAGCATGTTAAGGCAATTTCATGGCATTACAAGACAAGTATGCAAGGCATGCATGGTGTGTATAAACCAAGTAAAAATAGTACTATATCATGGCAAAATAAGCACAAATAACACTTAAGACATGGCCAACATGAACTTAAAAATGGTGCTCACACATGAAGCTAAAATGACACTTTTTGAAGATAACAAGGAGAAGGGATGGCTCTCTCCTTCTTAAGATCTTAAGACACCATCCTCACCATTGAAATCCCTCAAGATTTCAGTAGTGAGGAGGGCCAAACAAGGTGGTCCCGAAGCTCACCAAAAATAGCACAAAATGGGGCCAAACAAGGCCTAAGAGGGGTCAAACAACCCCAAAGCTTAAAACACTCTTAAACAACTATTTAGAGCACTCAAAAACAAGACTTTTTTTAGTTATAAGTTAAGTTCAAAACAGCAGGCAAGACAGGCTAAAAGTGTGTGCAAAAATGGGGGATTTAAGGCTTAGAAACTCACCCTTGAAGACCTTCTTCAAAACCAGGGCTCCAGCAGATTTTTCTGAGTCAAAACCAAGTCTTGAGCCCCTATAAGACCCTCCAAGAACCTTAGATGAATGGTGGAGGTGTGTGCTTAGGAGTTGGGGTGCAAAGGGGTCAAGAACCAAGCACTTTGGAGGCTTGGATGTAGAGATATCAAGAGAGATATATGTTTTTGTCTTGGACAAATTTCTTGGAACCATTGAAATGGAAGGAGAGGCTCTCTATTTATAGAGCAAGGCAAAAGGCCTAAGCTTCTTGGAGAAGCTAAGGCAAAAGGGTCAAAAGGGGGCAAGCTTCTAAGGGAAGCTAAGTCAAAGGGTCCAAGCTTCTTTAAGAAGCTTAGAACAAAAGGGTCAAGCTTCTTGGAGAAGCTAGACAAGGGTTGAAGCTTCTTGGAGAAGCTAGAGGAAAATGTGCAAAAGGTGCAAGCTTCTCTTGGAAGCTTAGAAGGGTTCAAGCTTCTTGGAGAAGCTAGAACAAAGGTTCAAAAGGTTCAAGCTTCCCCAAGAAGCTAAAACCAAGGGTTTAAAAGGTTCAAGCTTCCTCAAAAAGCTAAAACTAAGGGTTCAAAAGGTTCAAGCTTCCTCAAGAAGCTAGAACCAAGGGTTCAAAAGGTTCAAGCTTCCTCAAGAAGCTAAAACAAGGGTTCAAAAAGGTTCAAACTTCCTCAAAAAGCTAAAACCAAGGGTTCAAAAGGTTCAAACCCCCTCAAGAAAAGGTCTCAGCCAGAAAAAGTGGCCGATTGACCAAAATCAGTGGCCGACCGACCAAACACAATGCCGACCGGCCAACACCTTTGGCCGGTAGCAAGAAAACAGGGCCTGTGGCCTCAAGCCATGGTCGGTGAGGTGTGGGAATGGCCTATAATTCCCATCCTCAAAAGTAAAACAACAAGTGTTTGATGCAAAACCAAACACAAAACAAATAAGTCGAGAGGTCTTGAGGTAAGGCGCGTAGCTGAAACCTCCGAGAACTCAAGACGAACACAAACAAGGGTAATCATTGAGTGTTCAAACGATGACGTCCAAATCTTAAGGACGGTCAAAAATGGAGTGTCTACAGCCACAATCTTCAATTTTTTTTTTAAATTAATTTTTATTTCTGGGTTTTTGTGGATTTTTTCTGATTTTTCGTCAGCAGTTCATTCTTGAAGCTGTAATTTATTTAATCAGTCATGTGAACAGATATCAATTTAGAAGTTGTAGTTCATTCTTGATTTTTCAGTCATGTGAACAGATATCATGTGAACAGATATCACTAATTTATTTAATCACTAATTTAGAGATATCACTAATTTAGAAGCTGTAGATCAGTCATGTGAACAGATATCATTAATTTATTTAATCAATCATGTGATTTTTCGTCAGTAGTTCATTACTGGAATGTGATGAATTTTTTAGAAATCAATTTAGAAATCAATTTGTCTCAGTCTCACTCTCAGTTTAGAAATCAATTTTTTTTTTTAAATGGATGATCTGAAATTTATGGATGATCTGTTGTTCAACTGATTCAAAAATGAATGCTCTGTTGTTCAGTACCGTGGAGGCAAATTAGACCAAAAATATGTTTCTAAATTACAAATCTATTATATATCATATACTCGAATCAGTTTGAACATTATTCTACCTATGTTCATTATTCTGCCTATGTCCATTATAATGTATTATATATGTTCATTATATATCCATCATAGATGATCTGTTGTTGTATGTTTCTAAAATGGATGATATATAATGGATACTATTGCGAATATGCATTATTTTGCTTATGTTGAGATTTTATTTATGTAGCTAAGATTTTATTTATATGGGTTTTCAGTTGCATTTTCATATCGATATGGAACTTGAGAATGATTGTGCTTAGAAGCCAAAACAGGGAATGACATTCGATTTTGAATAATGTGTGTATGATTTTTATAATACATATGGAGGAAGAATGGGGTTTAGCATAAGAAGGGATTTTTGTAAGAAGAACAAGTTCACTAACCAACTCATCTGTAGACTTTTGGTTTGCAACAATGAGGGATTTCGAAAGGGTGACAAACGAGACCCATTGTCACAAAACCCTAGAGCTGAAACTTGGACCGGTTGTGAGGCTCGACTTTATGTCAAATTAGATGAGGGTACTGGGGAATATGTTGTGACTGATTTCAAAGAAAAACACAACCATGATCTTGTATCACCCGAGTGTGCCCACATGTTGCTGTCACAAAGAAAGATATCGACTACCCAAGCAATTGAGTTAGATTTGACGGCACAATCTGGTCTTCGTTTAGGCCAGTCTTTTGAACTCATGGGTAGGGAAGCTGGTGGGAGGTAATGTCTTGGGTTTACAAAATTATATCAAAAAAATTATTTGAGAACCAAAAGACAATAAAGTTTAGCATATGGGGAAGTAGGCAATGTGTTGCAATACTTTAAAGAAAAATCTTTGCAGAATCCTTCATTCTTTTATGCTTTCTAGTTAGATAATGAAGAGCAAATAATGAATATGTTTTGGGCTGATGCACAAATGATCATGGATTATGCCCAATTTGGTGATGTTGTCACTTTTGATACTACTTACAAGTTAAACAAAGAACATAGACCCTTCGCGTCTTTTATGGGATTCAACCATCATAGGGAAACAATTATATTTGGTGCAACCTTGTTGTATGATGAGACCGCCAAATCGTTTGTATGGTTGTTTCAAAATTTTGTAGAGGCCATGTTAGGAAAGGCACCAAAAACGTTGTTCACTGATCAAGATGCTGCAATGGCTAAAGCCATATCCATCGTTATGCCTAACACAACTCACCGATTGTGTACTTGGCATTTGATGCAAAATGCATTAAAACATGTTAATTGTTTGTTCCAAGATAAGGGGGTAAAGGGTGTACTAAATAAGTTCTTCTTTCACATTGAAGATGCAAATCAATGGAAGTTAGAGTGGACGGAAATGCTTGATAAATATGATGCGCATAAAAATCATTGGTTGAAATTGACTTTTGCGGTGAAAGAAAAATGGGGCTGGCCATATGTTAGATCAACATGGGCTGCGGGAATGAGTACCACACAACTCAGTGAATCTTTTAATGCTTTTTTGAAGGATTACATTCGTTCTGATTTTAACTTAAATGACTTCTTCATGCATTTAGAAAGGGTACTTTACGAGAAGCGATACAAGGAGTTAGAAGCAGGATATGCTTTGTGCCAAAAGTTACCAAAGGTGAAAGCAGAAGTTAGAATGTTAATTCAAATAGGTAATGTTTACACAAAAAAGATATTTGAGGAATTTCAAAATGAGTACTTTCGATCCATTGAATCAGACATAGAAGCAATTGAATATGGCGAGGCTAGTATCATTTACACAGTTGTTGATGTTGGTAACAAACATGCAAGGAAAGTGAAGATGGAAAAGGATGGCTCATTGGGTTATAATTGTACAAAGTTTGAAAGGGAAGGAATCTTGTGTTGTCACTCATTGAAGGTTATTAGAGACATATTAAAGATGAAAGAGGTTCCTCCACAATACACTCTAAAGAGGTAGACCAAACAAGCAAGAGCCAAAACTGTGAAGGACATTAAGGGGAATGACATTCAAGTGGATGTGAAATTGCAACAAGCCTCGCAGTATAAGACATTGATGACTGCACTTAGAGCACTAGCAAGTAGAGCTGCTGAAACTGAAGAAATTTAAGAGTTTTGTATTGCACACCTTGCTACATTAGGTGCAAATGTTGAAGGCAAGTTAGGTGCTCATTTTGGTATTGGAAATGAAGTAATTAATGATGATGACACCCAAAGCGTTGAAGTGGAAGGAGAAGATGTGAATCATGTTGTGCAACCAAAAATATTGAAGACAAATGTGGCAACTAGTAAGGGCAAAAGGAGGGTCAAAGGTGGATTCGAAGCGGCGTTGGTAGTGAACTCCAAAAAAAAATCCCGTGCTAACAGTTTGGCTTCGTCACAATCTATTGCAAGTCCAACAATTTCACTTTCTACATTATCTGTTGGAGGAGATATCTATGTTTGGCAACATGTTCCTCCTCTTCAACCTCTTCCTCCCATTCATCCTCTTCCTCCATCTTTGCCCATGGGTGGTAATTCTATTCCTCCGCCATATATGTATCCCATATATCATGTAAGTGTTAGTACAATTTAGGTGCTCATTTTTTTGTAGATATAATATGTGACTCAAACCATGATTGCGAAGCGTAATATATGACATTGTTGTAGGCGAACAATTTGCGGGAGATGTATGTACTGCAAAATTCTGTGCCCAATCCAATGCCTCAACGGTATTCTTGTCAACCAACATTCCAGTCACTACTTCAAGGTTCATGTGGATATGACAGTGGATTTCGATATTCTCAAGAATCAAACAGTCCAATGTGTAGTCAAGTTCGTCCTCTCTGTATTTTTATTTTGTAGTTGATGAAAATTGTGGCTATTTCATTTTACAAATTTCTATGTCAAGTATGTATTTAGTTGCTGAAAATTGTGCAAAATTTTGTCTTTTTCCATTTTAGGCTACGGACAAGTTGAAAGACAAGCAAACTGAAGCTGAAATTCGCCTGGAAAGTGAAGTCATAGCAGCTCAATGTGAAGCAGAAAGACAAGCAAACTGTGTGTTCAAATTGTGAAGCAAACTCTGTGTACCTGTGTTTCGAAATGTTAATGGCTTGTACGTGTGGACCAATGTGTTAATTTTGATGGACCAATGTGAGCATAACATGTTGAATCTTGCCAAATGCCTCAATGGCTTGTACGCTAATCATGTTAATTTACAGTTCATGTTAATGGCTTTTTCATTTGTTAGAAAATTTATTCCAGCTTTTTCATTTTTTACTGGACAGTTGATGATGTTAATCTACAGTTCTGTTGTTGTGTTAATCTACACTTTTGTTTCTGTTCTGTGCTGCTGTCCCAGCTTTTTCATTTTTTAAATTATCCCATCTGCTGTCCATGTTTGTATTGGGTCTGGTATGCTGGTTTTGTTCTGTTCTGCTATGCTGGTTTGTACTGCTTCTCCTATACTGGTTCTGGTTTGCTGGAATGGTTCATGGTTCATGCTTCAGCTTCATACTGGTTTGCTGGAATGGTTCATGGTTCATGTTTCTGCTATACTGGTTCTGCTTCTGCTATACTGCTTCTGTTATCTGGTAAATGGTTCATGCTCCAGCTTCAGCTTCATACTCAGAACCAGAACATGGTAACATGATGATGCTAATGCTGGTAACAGATATACTGGTAACAGAACATCATACTGCTAATGCTGGATCTACTGCTGCCATACTCACAATTCATTGATAACAGATAACAGATATACTGGTCCTGGTCATTGATAACAGATAACAGATATACTGGCCCTGGTCACTGATATACTGGTCATTGATAACAGATAACAAATATGTTGGATCTGCTGCTTCCATACTTAGAATTCATTGAACATGATCTGCTGCTGCCATATACTGGTAACACATAAACTGGTCCTGGTTTGGATCTATTGTTAAAGCAAAATGTGCCATACTGATAACAGATAAACTTAATAGATGAACTTAAATTTCCAAAATTCATTCCAAAATTCCATCATTCATTCATTCCAAAATTCCATCATTCATTCATTCCAAAATGTGCCATACTTCATTCCATCAGTGAAGGCAAAATTCATTCCATCATTCATTCCAAAGTTTAGGCCACAAGTTGAGGGAAATAGATAATAGATAATTCATTCCATAGTTAATTCCGTAGTTCATTCCATAACAGATAATATATAACAAGTTGATGTACATACAACCCAAAATGCTACAAACGTCCATTTTGTTTCCCAAAATACAATAAAGTACTTCAAGTTACATCATAAAGTAGAAAACGGTAGAAAATACAATAAAGTACACCATCGCTTTGATATTCCTTTCCATCCTTTGAAGCCTTCGACCATAGTCCGTTTCCACGTAATCAAGCCTCGTCCTTACATTGTTAAAGTCGTCTACTGTTATACCATCACAAGCTGTACAGTTCGAAGGAATTCTAGACGTAACGTCTTCATCATCTTCATCCACGAACTTGAAGTAATTGCAATGGGAAGTGGGAGTGTTACTCTGCAATGCATGAGAATAAGTTAGTCGAATAACACAAATATTAATGTGACTACTAAAAGAAGAAAATAGCTAGAATTACAAACTTACATATCTTGATGGGCAAACAAAGAACAAACGTCCTTCATTTCCATTCTCATTGGTTCCTACAATACGTATGGCAGCAGTTCTTCCACAATTGCACAGCCACGGTAGTAATCTTATGTTGCTAATGTTAGAAGAAGAAGCCATTTTTTAAATCTGCATACATGAGAACTTTTTTAAATGGAAAATACCCCCTTTTTTATATTGCATACATGAGAACTTTTATGTTGCTAGGAAAATACATGGAATTCTGGAAAATACATGAGAACTTTTATGTTCCTAGGAAAATACATGAGAACTTTTATGTTACTAAGTTCTTTTCTTATACATGAGAATTCCATGAGAAATGAGAACAAAATAAGCCACAGTGAATGGAATTTGTATTGCAACATAAGTAGGCGTGTGAAATTTCAATCAACCAAGATGACTGTTGTAACTGCAAAAATGAAACTTCATTCAAACTTTTAACATGAAGTTTCAAGTACATGAATATGGAAGTTCAGTGAGTGCAGTATGTTGCATTCTTAAATTTTGAATTTTGTCTTTTAATAATTTATTGTTCATTCAAACTTTTAACATGGAACTATACATATATAAAAAAAAAGATAGATAGATAACTAAATTAGTTCAGTTGGTGGAGTAGTTGCTCCTTTACTATGATGGTCCTGTGTTTAAGTGATTATAAGTCCTCTGGTTTTGACAGTCCTTACGTGAACTACTGATACCTTGACAATCTCAACTCAAACAATCACTAGGCTGTTTGGGGAGTGGCTAGTATAGCCAAAAAGATAAAAAGTAACTACTAAAAAGTCAACCAATCTCTCTACTTTTCTATACATTTTTTCAACTAAAATAGCCAATTTCCAAATGATCGTAACCACTTACTACTTATTCACCCACATAACTTCAGAAACACTGTAATTCTCAAATTGTTCAAACACTAAAAAATCTATGGCATAAACTGAAGTCAAAGTCTTTACAATCAAAACATTCACAAACAGTCAAGAATTAAATTATGGGAGAATTGCAAATCAGTGGTAAGAAATGAAAGTAATTGCAAAAACATGGGGGTCTGTACTTAATTCTTCCACAGATTTACAATACCCCTTAAATTATTGTTTCAATAATTTCATGAGAACTTTTATGGAATTACAATACCCCTTAAATTATGGAATTCCATGAGAACTTTTATGTTACTAACATAAAACTTTTATGTTCTCATTTCTCATGGAAAATACTTTTATGTTGCTAGGAAAATACATGGAATTCTGGAAAATACATGAAAATAAATAGAATTCTGGAATATAAGAAAAGAACTTAGTATAATTTCCTATATGGAATTTTGGAATCAAACAAATGCATATAATGTTGTACATATTAGTTACTGTCGAAGCCCTAATTTTTGTAAAGGTAAATAGATGATTACAGATTAAAATTTCAATCTCAATCCTAATTTTTGTAAAGGTAAATAGATGATTACTATGAAAGCCCTAATTTCAATCTCAAACCCTAATTTCTATTTACCTTTTCATCTATTTATCTCAAGCCCTAGTAATCATCTATTTACCTTTTCAATCTCAAGTCCTAATTTCTTTCACAGTGAAAGCCCTAATTTTTGTCACAGTAAAAGCCCTAATTTCTTTCACTGTGAAAGCCCTAATTTTTGTCACAATCGAAGCCCTAAATTCACAGTGAAATCCCTAATTTTGAAATTTCAATCTCAATCACACAATCCTAAGGAGATAATTTCAGAGTTTCGAATACAAACCTGGTTCCTCATGAACAAATTTCTTCGCTCAGCCGATGGTGGTCGCAGTGGAGCTATGGTTCACGAAGCAGCGAATATTATGGCTGGAGTGGGTCGCCGGTGCCGTCTAGGGGACTGCTCGCCGGTGAGGGTGGGTTCGGTGGAGGAGGACGGCTGAGTGCGAGGCTCAGTGATATAACTAGCAACAGGCGGGATTTGAGTGAAATTTCAATTTATTTATTTTTTTTAATCTTAGTCGTTGGATGTGCAACGGCTGATCTCAGCCGTTGCAAGGACGCTCGCAAGTATGGCTTGCAAGGAGAGGATCTGAACTCAGTTCACAAACTGTGCAGACAGCTTCATCCCCAGCCAAAAGATGGCAACAAACACCCATTCAGACATCCAACACAATGTAAACCTTTCTGGCATGGCATGGTATGCTTGTATGGTTCTATTCAAGGTTTTAAAAAGCGGCCACAGTTACGTAACGGTTGTGGTGGTTACCGTCATCCGTTACGGTCGCTTTTGTAATGTGATTGAGATTCACAGGTATGTCGGCCGTAGCGCCTGCCGTAGTGGTCGTAATAATGTCGTAACAGCCGTAACGGCCTATTATGCACTGTTACGTAACGGTTCTGAATTGTTTCTTTCGAAAAAAACACAAAAAAAAAGGCTGAAAATGAGGAAAAAGGGATAGAGAGAAGAAGAGAAGATAAAGAGAGAAGATGGAAGAGCAAGAAATAGAGAGAGATAAGGGAATATGAAAAACATGTTATTGATTTGTTGAAATTGTAAGACCTATGCTATTCTATTCAGCTGCTATCACTCAATCATTTTGTTTGTGTGTCTATCTATATATTGTTTGAAAATAATAATAATAATAATAAGTGTAGTCATTATCTATTTGGCTTGGTTAAAATATGTATATATATATATATATATTTAGGCTCGTATTTATTCTCTTACTTTTTTCATTGTTTATCTTATATATAATAGTTGGTAATTGATTTTTTGTATAATATAAAGTCATTAATTATTAAAATAAAATGTAAAAAACTTAGTTTATAGTGATTTAAAAATATGAAATACTCTGTTGTTATAATCGTACGATTCGCGATTCGAATCGTACGATTCGGTTCAATACACATAGAAATCGATTCAAACAGGTACATGGAATCGGAAATGGTGCAAAATCGCATCTGAATCGATCGATTCACGATACGAATCGAAGAATCGCTGAATCGCACGATTCGTTACTGTCGCAGGTCGACCCAGTTTCTCGGACCCGAATGGAAAAAAATCAATTTTTAGGCCAATTTTTTTGCTTTTTCTTGGCACAAAATGGGTCGCCTGGTCTTCTAAGACCAAACAACAGTCCACCCAAGGTAACCCATGATCCCTTTTTACTTCCAACAGACAAAACCCTAGAAAGATTCACCTCTCTGTTCGACGCAGAGCTTCGTGGTCCCTCTTCGCAGTGTTTGGTGGTCCCTTGCTGCTGGAATCTGCTTCGTGGCCCTTCGTATAGTCTTCGTGGCCCTCAACGCAGAGCTTCATGGTCCCTTGCTGTTGTTTGGTCGTCTCTTCTTGCACCTGCAATTTTGTTTGAGATAGTACACTACTAGACAAACTTCAAATAGGGAATATAAAATACTATATTACATTAGACTCCTCCTTTTCCATTACTTTATTGTCCATTATCCATTACTTTATTATTGTCTATTGTGTGGACTGTAGAAGCATTGAAGAATCTACTGTGTGGGTGGGACATTAAAAAAATATAAAATATTTTGTTTTTTTTAATGGATAAAAAAAATATGAAAAGCAAAAAAAAAAAGTGGAAAACAAGATCCAACATGGGACCATTGTACCCGTATCAAAGATGATAATAGAATGTATTTGAGATGTAATTATTGTGGAAAAGATTGTTAGAGTGGAGTGATTCGAATGAAAAATCATTTAGTCGGAACTCATGATAATGTTGGTGCTTGTAGTCAAGTTTCTGAAGATGTTATGAATATGTTTTTACAACTCTTAAGTGGAAAAAAACAAGACAACATTATAGATGTTGATTGTTTTGAAGAAAAAAATATTGAGGGGAAAAGTAAAGGGGGAACTATGGATGCGTATGTCACAAAGGGGAGGGCAAAGCAACAAACTTTGAATCAAATGATAAAGCAAAGGGAGCCCGTGACTAGAGATATTTGTAGAGTCATTTATGGGCATGCATTGGCTTTTAATTTAGTGAAAAGCCCCTTGTTTAAGAAGATGTTGAAGTCAGTTGGTGAGTATAGTGTGGGATTGAAACCACCAAGTTATCATGAAGTGAGAGTATCTTTTTTGAAAAAAGAGGTTGATAATGTGAATGCAAGTTTAGAAGTGTATAGAAAAGAATGGAAGAAGACGAGTTGCACTATAATGTCCGATGGATGGACCGATGGAAAGTCTCGCTCTCTTACTAATTTCCTTATTAATAGTCTAAGTGGAACGGTGTTTATTAAATCAATAGACACCTCCGGTGTAATTAAAAATTCTATGAAATTGTTTGAGATGCTTGATGACATTGTGAATGAAATTGGTGAAGAAAATGTGGTGCAAGTGGTAACAGGTAGTGCATCGGCGTATGTGGGTGCCGGTAGATTATTGGAAGAGAAGAGGACTAAATTGTTTTGGTCCCCATGTGCGGCACATTGCCTTGACTTAATGTTGAGTGACATAGGTGAGTTGACGGTTTTCAAAGATACAATAATTAAAGCCAAGGAAATCGCTGTGTACATTTATAGGCATGCTTGGGTGCTTGATTTGTTCAGAAAATTTACAAAGAATAGAGAGTTGACAAGACCCGCGGTTACTAGATTTGCCACCGCCTTCCTTACTTTAAAAAATTTCCAAGATAGAAAGCTCCAATTTAGAGCTATGTTTGCATCGGAAAAGTGGGCTAGAAGTAGCTATTCTACATTTGTTAATGCAAAAAAGGCACAAGGAACAATCTTGGGAGATGCTAGATTTTGGAAAGCAATCAAGTATTGCTTGAAGTGTGTGCTCCCTTTGGTGAAAATTTTGAGGCTTGTCGATGGTGATGCAAAGTTGGCAATGGGATTTATTTATGAAGCTATGGATAGAGCGAGGAAGAAATTGCTTCAAACTTGAACCATGTGAGAGGTAGATATAAGCGCATTTGGGAAATTATTGATACTAGATGGGATTTACAACTCCATAGGCCTTTGCATGCGGCGACATATTACCTTAATCCAATGTAAGTTTTTTTCTATTTTTGTCAAATTATTTGTGTTGTGTTGTGTGACTTATATACAAAATGTGTAATGGAATTTATTTATGAATTTATCTTTCTTTCTAGGTTTCATTATCAAGAAAACTTCAATGCGGATACGGAGGTGAAAATTGGTTTATTTAAAACCATTGAGAGGATGTATCCGGATATAGAGGATAGAGTGAAGGTTGATGAGCAATTAGAAAAGTTCAAGAAGGCCGAGGGTATGTTTGGTATGAGCATGGCCATCTTGACAAGGGAAAAGAAACAACCCGGTAAAAAATTTTATTATGAAATTATATATTCACAATTTCACAACAATTATGTTGGCAATGACATGCATTATTCTCTAACATCTCTTTATCATTTAATTACAGCTCTATGGTGGGAAAGTTACGGAGAATAGTGCAAAGAGCTTCAAAAGCTAGCTATTAGAGTGCTAAGTCTTACTTGTAGTGCCACCAGGTATGAGAGAAATTGGAGCACTTTTGATCATGTGCACTCGAAGAAAAGAAACCGGTTGGAGCAACAACGGCTGAATGCTTTGGTTTTTGTGAAGTATAACATTCAACTTGAGTTGAGGCAAATTAAGAGACAAGAAAGGGGTGAGACTTATGATCCTATTTATTTATCGGATATGGAATCCGATGATGAATGGATTACTGAGAAAGAAGATCCATGTCTACCCGAAGATCATTCATGGATGGACATCCAAGAGTGTTTCAAAGATGATGAAGGAACAACTAGCAAAAAGAGAAAAAGAGGTATAATTCTACATTTTAATTTTTAAATAAGTTAATTTCAAAGATTTAGTTTTTATATTTTCACATTTACTTGCTCATTCATAACCTTATTTAATTTTATTAATGTAGGATCAAGAAATTTAAATGCCATCAATAGAGGAAAAAGAAAATTATTTGAAGATGATGATGAAGTTGAATTGATTGAAGGTGGGGAAGAGGAAGAGGAAGAGGAAGAGGATGAAGAGTTTGATGAAGTGACTATGGTAGATGATGATGAAGATGATATTGACCTTGGAGATGATGAAGATTGAAATGAAAAAATGAAGACTTTTTGAAATTTTTAACTTTGTCTAATCTAACTTTTGTTTTGTATGGTCTCTTTTTGACACAAGTTACTTTACAAGTATAGATTAGAATTTTGAAAAGTTTAGAACTTGTTAAGATGTGAACCTTATTCATGATGAATGTGAATTGCCATACATATATGTTGTGATGTGAATTTACATAAATTATATCATAAATACATAAATATAATATAGGATCATAGATCATGGTGGGGCTCGGACCCACATCTCTTGCCATAGAAGCGTCTTACCTATTTAGACCACGTGATCATCATGTAAAGTAACATTTTTATTACTTTAAATCTAAGTATTTCATATTTATAATATTTAAGTGTATAAATATGCTTTTTTTATGTAATTTAGAAAACGTAAGTGAATTTTTACGATTCACGATTCGATTCGATTCGCGATTCGGTACATAGCCATTTCGATTCACGATTTGAATCCCGATTTGACATCTATGATGAAATATATTAGATTATACTTAAAATTTTACAAAAATTGATCAATATTTATTTTAAACCCAATAAATATGATCATGGAAAAAAAATACGTATTGGTAAATTTTTTTCAAATTGTGCGAAAAATTAAAAAATTCATGGTTCTGAATACCGCAACCGTTACATTACAGCCTTTACACCCCGCAACCTCAACCGCACCACCACCACCGTTACGACAACCACAACTGCTTTTCAAAATCTTGGTTCTGTTACATTATGCAGCATATTCTTAGTTCTTTGGTGTTAGAGTTCCATCAAATTTCTTTATCATGTCAAGGAAATCAAATATTATTTTTCCAAGGTCAACCAATATCACTGAACTTTGCTGAATTTGAGTATATATAATAAGTTCTATTCAACACAATCTAACGAAAACAATACCGTGCTAAAGCTATGCTAAAAACTTCTGATAGATAGGATTCAGATAGCTGTTTTTTATTTTCCAAAAGGAAATTAGCCGGAAAAAAGGTACAAATAGATAACACGTGGCCATCATTCCTAGAAATTCTAACCAAAATATTAGATGAGCAAAGGTAAAGTCCAATGGAGGCACTAGATTCACTAAATATAAGAAATTGCATTTTTACAGAAGTCATCTTTATCCTGAAGGAGCCGGATACACTGTTCGGCCTTCGGAAGGAGCAGCAGGAAACGCTATCAACAAAATACAGTAGCCGGTACGAGACATCACAATAGTGGCCCAAATGATCTCCTTTGGCCACTCTAAAATATAGAAATTCTTCTTTCACTCTACTGGAGGCATGAAAACAGAGAATAGCCCATTGCATGTGCTGCTTTGACAGATTTGGTGTTTTATGAATGTATGACCAACCGACTTTGATTGGTATGCAAAGAGTAAAGCAAGAATTCTATTTCATCAAATCCAAGAAAACGAAGCCATTCCAAAGACTGTGCAAGAGCATAGATGGCAATAGGTTCCTTGAGCGTGCAAAAATTACACCCATCACCACCCCAAGAAAAACAAGAGGTAGAATCCTCTGTAAATTGAAATGTGCTAGAGCAAAGGCAACTGAACTCACAAGGATTGAACACCATACAGGCATGTACTTGGTCAAGGATGGGAGAAGAAAACCCCGGAAAACAATTTCCTCCCACACTGGAGCGCACACTGAAACCACGAGTGCATACAAAGACATTGCGATTGGATCACGTGCTACAATTGACTGCTCAACGTTCGAGAGTGTGACAGGTGTTGAAGGCAGAAGAGGCAATAAGTCAAGGTTGAACTTTGAGAGCCGGTTGACCAAAGGAAACATGAGGCACCCAAGAGCAACATCAAACAGCCAATTCCCTCTCAGGCTAAATTTAAACCAATCAGATGGAAGGGGACAAAAGCGAGACAGGCAACGATGAAGAATTGCGATTCCGGCAAGGCCTTCGGTTACATCGGTCAAAAGGCTGTACAAGGCCTGCCCTCTGTATGTTAGAGATTCCTTGCTGAAACCCGCTATGTGAGCTCCGAATGGAATCATCCAAGAGCCCACGAACCAGAATGCGACAATCCAAAGGAGTGTCACCTGCATCGTCATAATTATGCATGTCTGTCATTATCCTTCTGTGATTGATTTCTAGCGATAAAAAGTCACTAAGTAGGAAGAATATCAGTTTGAGTAGTTCAAAACTCAAAAAAGATTTTAGGTTATTCTGTCATTGTCCACCATTTACTAAGCGTATAAAAAAGGGAACAATAAGTTCTAGAAAGTTCATGTAAATTCATCAAATAAAATTAAAAAAAAAATTAAAAAAAAAAATCATTCTGGCTATATCCTCAAAAAACCTAGTTTCTAATTATCTAATGAACAAAAAAGAATTCGGGGAACAAGTACCTAGTGGGGACATCCGGTTTCGTGGGAGTGCAACTGTCATAAAATACAGAGCACAAGCTAAAAAGAGAAAATAAAATTACTCCAGATAAAAGACAGAACAGAATTATATGTAGTCTTGAGAAACTGAAGATATTATTGGTGGATGGAAATAAGGAAAGTCATCAAGAAAGTTTGCTACGTGCAATGATGACCAATGAATGCACCACTGACAAAGTGCTATTGATTAAGTTAAAAATGTGATCTTGTGATTTTAATGTACAAATTACCCTTGATAAAGATGACATAAGACAAAGAACTTGTGTGGTGTTCCCCAAGTTATTTAGGTATTATGGCATTTCTGAGTTTGAGTGGAGTACATGATATCTCAAAATAGGAAGTAAAGAGAAATCCTTCATCAACAGCAATGAATAAAAAGTTCTCATATCTTTAAATCTCCTAATTTTCGGGAAGCTTACTTCTGTGTTTCTCTTTGCCACGTCATTGAAAGTAAATAACATGACGAGATCTTATTATTCATTATAAAGTCCCCTAAATATCTCACCATAAAATGTTTATCAAGGAAATAACAGTTTACCTGTAGTATAGTCTCAGCTGTCCATGGCACGGTCCAGGGTTTCCCTATTGCTCTAAATACTGCATCTGCGGCCTGAAACATTAAAAAGCCCATGGGTGAACACCATGAAAGATACTACTAGTTCCTCTATCTGTTTGAAAATTTATATCTCAGGCATAGTATCTACATTCAGCATTCATAATGTATTCATAAATGGAGGCACAAAAAGAAAGTTGGAAGCCTTCAAGGTTTTGAAGTTAAAATAATTGCTCAAGGATTTCAATTTTCCATTTTCTTTTACTTCATCTTGTGGTAACACATAAAAAGTATATATGATTGATACAATGTACATATTCCAATGTCAAGCCCTACCTTCTTTATTGTTTTATGTTAGCCACATGTCTAATTAATTAATTAAATGCATAATTTTCACATGAGGTATAATGTATGATCATATAAAATTGATCCATTCGACTGACTTGCTGAATACAAATGCTAGGGAGAAGGCATTAGCATTAACCACGATTGGGATACAACATTGCTTTTGAGTAAACTGTATATAAAGTCATACTTTTAAGACTAACAGAAACTCGAACAATGGGTATAATAATTAACAAGTCAGGCTAAGAACTGTGAAGTCTCTGTAGACTGTAAGTTAAGCAAAATATCACTGTTGCTTAGAAATCTCACTTCCGATAAAACTGTATCAACCGGGCGATCCTATAATTCAATATGATTCCTATTACAGTACACAGAGACATTTGGCACTATTTGGCATCCTCTATATTAGCATACATTTTTTAATCTTTTAATCTTTTTAATCACATCACCTCTCTACTTCTTTCCACATACTTTCATAAAAAGTCAAAACAAATACTTATTAAATCATCTCAAACACCCTCCTAGAACTGTAAAAGCATGCACAGATTATATGATGTAAAGAATCAAAATTCAATTGCACATATCAAATTATGACAAACCCATTAAAGGCCACATAACACACATCAAACTGGAAGTAAATGAACAATTTTGAATCCAATTGGAAAAAGAACTATAAATCCAATTACCTCTTGGAGGCTTGAAACCCAATCTTTTGTTTTGCCACATGATTCATCCAATTTGGGTTTTGCCAACTCTTCATAGATAGGATCTTCAGTAAACTCAGGTTTTGAGTCTCCGTAACCAAATTCTTCACGCCTAAAGCACAATATTTTCCATTTCTGCAATTATAACCATATAGATTTAAAAACCCAAACCCATCTAAATATATAATTTTACATAAACAAAGATTAAAGCTTTATGATTTCTTACTTTGTTTGAAGGCTCTAGAGTAGAATGAGAGGGCCGAAAGTTGCGAGTGAGTGGGAAAGAAGTAGAGTGATGGTTCAAAACCCTAATTGGAGAGAAATGGGGTAGGAGAAGGGTGGGGCGTTGAGCAAGAAGAGAGTGAGAAAAAGAACTCAACATTGAGGTCCAATCCAGATGGGTCCGAGTCTGGTGATGAGAATCCCTAATTTCATGGATATCAGAGGAGTTATATATATATGGAATTATTGAACCTTGTTTTGGTATCCCAATAGATTTGGAATCAGAAAACCCTAATACTTGAAGCCATTGTTAGTTTTGAGATTAACGCTGTTTGACTTTTGTCGACACAACACAAGCCACTGCCACTCGGAAATTTTTGGATTATTGTCGAGGTTTAAGTTGCAATTCGATTCTAAGGGAGTGTTCGGAACAACGTAAGGGTTCGTTTGATTTTAGAAATGATTATTAATAAATGGATTAAGAAAAATTATGGTAGCCTTTGATTTACTTTTTAAAATTTAATTTTGTTTTTAAATTATGATTTAGATAAAATAGATTAATTAAATTTATTTTTAAAATACAATTCAAAATTACTTTTAAAACTCTTATTTTTCCTTTTATTATTATTCAATCAATCAATCAATCACTTTTTCTTTCTTATCTCTCCGCTCTCCTCACATTTTCTCAAATTCTATACATCAATCAATCAAAAAATAAAAAAAATTACAAATTATCTCAAAACTATTTTCAAAATTCATAATCAAACAAATTTTTTTCTTTTCAAATCATGATTTAAAAATTCAAAACTCAAAATATAACTCCACACTCAAATTATAATTCTAAAATTAAATCAAACCGATCCTATTTTTTTTTATGACTACTGAATTAATGAAAATTTATATTTGTTATGTCATTTTATGATGAAATTAATTATATAAAATTCTATAAATATTGTAGTGTTTTTTTATATATATTTTAATATTAAAAATTATATGTTGGTACTGTAAATATATTCTTATACTCTTCTATTTTAATATTAAATTATTTTTATAAAATGAGGAGTATCTCTAATCTCATGAGATTAGATTTGAATATTACCTTTCTCTGAGATTACTACTCCACCTCACTAGGAATGACAATTTGAACCTGGCCCAACAAGGACCCAGACTGCCCATCTTGATAAGTCAGGTTTTTTCCGAAAACTATCCCCCATAGGGCCAGGGCTGGTATTGAAAAATAGATCCCTGATGGTTTTCGAGCTGGGGAGGGTGATAGATTACCTCAGCCTCAACCTTGGCCTAGCCCCGCCCCGATTAATCCCCAAACAGCCCCGTATATATATATATATCTATTCAATTCACTCTTTTAATACAAACCCATCTCTCTCTCTCTTTCTTTCTTTCTCTCTCTCTCCCTCCTTCCTACGACTCTCTCTCTTTTCTCTCTTCTTTCTTACAAGCTCACCTCCCTCTCTCTCTCTAACGGTCTATGGTGTGACTCACACACACTCTCTCTCTTCTCTCTATTCTCTCTCACTCTCTCTCTTCCGCATCCGAAGTCATTGCATCCTCCGAAACCGTTGCCTCCTCCGCTGTCACTACCACTGTGCTACACCTAGCCATCGTGCCTCTCTAGATCTTCGCCGCTGAAGATTTACTCCAGATCTAGTTTCTCTCTTTCTCTCTCTCTATCTCTCTCTCTCTCTCTTTGTGTGTATGTGTGTACATCTGTGTATATATATCTATATATTTGTGTGTGTTTTACAACTTCAGCTTTTGATTCTGATTCTACTTTTGTGTATGTGTCCATTTGTGTGTATATATATATATATATGTCTATATATTTGTATGTGTTTTGCAGCTTCTGATTTTGATTATGATTTTACATGTGTGTATATATATCTATATATTTGAATTGGTTGTGATTGTGTTATTAGATCTGCAATTGGAGCTGATTTTTTTTCTTGGGCTGGGGAATTTGCGAGGTCGGGAAAACCCGAGCCCCATTAGGAAGCGGGGACGAGGATGGTGATAAGTTCTCCGTTAGGGATTGGGGCCGAGGACGGGAGAATTTTCGTATCGGGGACGAGGAGTGTGATCCCCGACCCTGTCCCGATCTGTTGCCATCCCTACACTTCACTAGAGAGTATTTCTAATCTCATGGGACAGTTAATCCCATGACCATTTCTCCCTCTCAATAGAGAGTATTTCTAATGTTATGGGACAATTAACCCCATGACCACTTCTGTAAACAAACATGATATTAGTGGTGCTCACCTCCTTATTAATCCAATTACAACCCATATCCCCTAAAACAAATAGGGCCTAAAAATGTTAATTTTAGCTTAAAAAATTAAAAAAAAAAACTAAAAATCACTTAATTATTTGTCATTAGTTAAAAAAAATAAATGTCTTATAGAGACTTTTACTCATAAAAAAATAGATTTTTTTAATAACTTTCCAAGTACATTAATTTAATTTTATTTTATTTTTATTTATTTATATTTATATTTTAACTTTTGCAAAAGTCATGAAGTCATAAAATATTCAAACCCCAAACAGCCACTCAACAAAATTGGCTCTATCTATTTATTGGCTTAGGCCAAGTTTGGCATATTGCAAAAAAATTAAAAAGTCAAAAAGTTACTCAAAAAATTAAAAGTTAACACTATTCACCAAAAGTCAACAATTACTGCTGCACAACTCTCAATCCTAATTTTTTCCTACAAATCAATTTTTACAGTTTTTTATTACACATTTTTCCATAAAAAGTCAAAAAGTTAACTCAAACATCCATATTTTCTTCTTCAATTTTTTAGTTCAAAAAGACAAAAAACACACTTATTTAAAACACCCCAAATAATCCCTTAATTTCACTTCGTACTCACATATTTTTATTACCATTCCATTTTAATTTATTCATTTTTAATTGTAATAATTAATCTATACTGTAACTCAAATAAATTATAATCTCACCCTTCCATCCATCTAGCATTCACAAAGTTGGTGAAACTTATCATTTAAAGCACATATGGCATTTTTATTGTCTTATTAACACCTTTATTCTTTTATTAACATTTTAGTTCATTACTTACGCTTATCACCAAAATTTCATTTCAGACTAGGAATGGCAACGGGTCGGGGCGGGGCCGGGGACCACCCTCTCCGTCCCCGATCCCTGAAGATTACAAAATCCCCGCCCCTGCCCCCGATCCCCGGCGAGGGAGCCCATCACCCTCCCGTCCCCGACCCCGAAATATCCCCGGGCTTTTTTTTTTTTTTTTGAATTTTGTTCAACAAAACAATTAGGTGCCGTTTGGTAACACTTACGTTTTCAGTTTTCTGTTTATATTTACAAAAATTTAAAAAACTCAAAAAAAAACTTGTTTGGTAAAATTTTTGATTTATAAATCAGTGGTCTCAGTTTATAAATTTGGCCAAAAAATGAAAACACAAAAAATGTGTTTCCATTTTGAGTTTTCAATTTTTTTTTTTATCACCCAACATTAGCTACCCCCCGCCACCATTTTCCACTACCGTCATCCGCCGCCACCACCCACCACCCACCCTCCACCACCACCACCTGCCGCCACCACTCACCACCCACCTACTACCACCAGCCACCACTCGCCACCACCACCCCCCTGCCACCCACCACCCACCACCACCCACTACCCCCCTGCCACCCACTCGCCGCCACCACCCACCCCTCGCTGCCACCACCACCACCACCACCCACTCGCCACCACCCACCACCGTCACCACTTTCCACTACCGTCTTCCGCCACCACCACCATCTTCCGCCACCCACCCTCCACCACCACCTCCACCACCATCTTCCACCGCAACCTGCCACCACTTTCCACCATCGTCTTTCGCCGCCACCACCCACCACCTGCCACCACTTTCGACCACCGTCTTCCGCTGCCACCACCATCTTCCGCCACTACTTTCCACTACCACCTGCCACCACTTTCCACCACCATCTTTCGCCGCCACCACCCGTCACTTGTCACCACTTTTTACCACCGTTTTCCGCCGCCACCACTCGCCACCACCCGCTACCACTTTCCACCACTGTCTCTTCTCACCCTCTTCCGCCGCCACCACCATCTTCCGCCACTACCATCCGCCATCACTTTCCACCACCATCTTCCGCTGCCACCACCTGCCACCACTTTCCACCACCATCTT